GGGGGGGCGGGGGAGGCGCCATGCAGCTTATTCTATGGGGCACTGGCTCCCCAGGCCCCAGGGGAACAGGGTTGTTCCCAAAGCCATTTGGGGCAGCTGGAGGGGGCAGCTGCCAGAAACCCAACAGGGAGGAAATTTCCAGAGAGGCAGGAATTGCTATATTCACAGCATCTATCAGCAGCTCTTTGGGCAGCTCGATTTTCCCAACCATATCTTTACCCAGCTCAAAACAAGGTGACTGCGGCTCTTGCAGAGGAAACTCCTCAAAGAAACTCATATTCATGTTGCAGAAAACTTTAGTATCTGCTTTAAGCTGCATGCCTGCAAGTGGGGGGTATGAGGTAGAGGCGGTGTTGTACTTGTGATCCGGAAGGATCTGGGGAGGGGAGGTGGAAACCACCCCAGGGTGCAAGGAAATAAGAGGCTCTGGCAGCGGTGGCATAGGCTGGAGGGTTTGCTCTGGGGGACTGAGGGTGAGCCCATGAACCTCAGTTGGCAAGCCACCTACAAACCCATTCTGGACTGGAGCTGCTAACTGGAAAGGAGGCAAGGGAGGGGCCTTCAGCTGGAAAGAAGGCGCCACGGTCTGGAATGTGCTCAGAAACTCTCCTGCCTGCATACTCTCTCTCATCAGCTCCTGTGAGTGTGTTTTCTTGGTATGGCGGGTGAGGTGATCTTTGCGCCCAAACCTCTGGGCACAGAACTGACACAGGAAGTCCTTGCATCCTGTGTGGACCACCAGGTGGCGGCGAACATCCTTGCGGGTGTAGAAGCATCTCTCACAGTGGTCGCACTGGTGCTTCCTCTCCCTGGCTGCAGTGGGAGCCTTTTCTTCTGCATGGGATCTGATGTGGTCCAGTAGGACCTCGGTGCACCCCAGCTGCACAGCGCAGACCCCACAGGTGAGGTCTCCGCTGCTGGCTGAGTGCAGGGCCAGGTGCCTCTTGTAGCCCAGCATGGTGTGGTACTTCTTCCCGCACTCTTCACATCCAAAGGACAGCTTGTTGGGGTCATGGGTCTGCAGGTGATTCTTCAGGTGGTCCTTCCGGTTGAACGTCTTCTCACAGTGAAGACATTGGTGAGATTTCTGAGGGGAGTGGGTGGCCATGTGCCTAGAAGCAGGAGACAGACAGTGTGCAATAGAGTTTTATGAGATAAAGAAAGGTGTAGAAACAACGGTGCCAAAATGTTATTAATAGTTTTCTCTAGGTTTTAATGTCATTTTCATTTTAAACTATTTTCCAAATGCATTAAATTTTATTTAGAAAGAACTACTAAAATCAAATTCAAGTTTTTACCTATAAGAAATATTATGAATCCAATGTACTTTCTTAATATAGTTAGAATTAAAAAAAAAAAAACAATCACGAAACATTTTTCAGGAAGTGGTTAAACGAATGTTTGACATTTTAAAGAAATTCTTCCCAAAATAATCCAATTTTATTTCTACACAGAACTCATAAACACCAAGTTTTAGGGTTAATGTTCCTTATAGAATTCTTGCACTGTCTATTGATTGAGACAAAAGTTTAGTCTAAAAGACATAAGACTCTTAGGAACCTTTACAAAAGTCTTTAAGCCTAGGGAAAGAATCCAACCGAACTCAGTTTTTCAAGTCTGTCATTCCTAAGCTTTGTAAAGTTAATTTTAGTAAATAAAATTGCAAGTACTATGTTAAGTATTTCTTCTAAGACAGAACCCTGTGTTAGGACTTGCTGCTTGCAGGCTGCACACAGGCTGCTTCACATCCCTGACATAACCCTTCAGGCTACTCTCTAGAGGCTTAGCTTGCCTTAGTAACAATCTCACTTCAATTGTACCCTTTGAACTACTGCCTTTGAATACAAAGGAACTCCCAACCACTTATTCTACTTTCAAAAAAATCTCTTTAGGACAGTATAGTTTGTCAAAAGTCTACTCAATTCTACCTTTCATCCTACCACCTACCCTGTCTCGTCCATTCCTGATTCTTTCCTAGAAGCAGAAAGGAAGAAAATCCATAGCAACAAAAGTTTAGAAGACAGTGGTGGTCCCACTAAAGATGATTGGAAGCCAGTTCAAAGACCACAGAGCTGATCTGAGTTAAATTGGCATTTTCTTTAAAATAAGCAAACCATAGTACTTTCCTTTACTCCCTCTTCAGAAAAAAGTAACTTTCTATATACACAGGATAGGAAAAGTTGGTTCCATTCCTTCCCTACAGGCTAGTACTGCTTGGTATGTGCAATATGGTAGGCACTGTAAGATGGGGGCAGTGCTTAAGGACAAGAATTAATACAACAGGCATTTGGGATTTCTGAAATATGTTGGGGTTTTCACATTCCAGATGCACTTAAATACATTCAGTAGTTGCAGAAAGAGGATTTGGAGCACATCAGAGGGCAGACAGCCATGCTATCTGACAAGATGTCTACCTGTGCCTAACAAGAATGAATACAGAGGAAGAAATGGCTTACAGATGTGGTATTTAAATTGTTTTGTATCTGGCTTAGAGTTAATTAGCAGGACCCCAAAGTTCTATCCTGGAAGTCTTCTGTTGCCTTTCCCCCTTTCTTTGTGGAGGATTTTAAACGGATAACATCATCTGTCAGCCATGGTCAAAAACAGAATAACTTGACCTATTTCCTATCCACTGTTTCCTGTCCTATCTGTGAGTGGGATGGAGGTTGGTACCAGTACCTGAGCAATTTTCATTTGCTCATGTCTTAAAGAGTTTTATGACTCTTTCCCAGGCCTGGCATCTGGTTCTTCCCTTTTACATCTAATTCCCTCTTGACTTCTTCATGCAACTGTCTCAATGCAACTTGAAATGATTTCAGTTTCCTTCCTTCCCTCCACTTATCTCACAATGTATAAGCCACCAGCAGTTTCAGTATATCCTGTAGTCAGCACAAATGAATCACCTTTGGGTAGCAATGGATCATGTCAAGTCTTAGAAGTCTTCACAGTGCTCACTCACTCTAAGACTTTCCCCTTAGAATTCAACCTTCTCTGCCAAATCAGTTTTTCTGGCCCTTTGCTGTCTCTGCCTAGGGCTAGCTGTTCATTATATTGGGACCCACATTCTCATTTCTGGTTAAGCAAGTCAGTTATTTCTCCTTCAATCTCTGCTTATAAAATAGAACTTATGTTGCAATAGTTGGGAAATGGATGGAATGCTGCCCTGTCATCTTTAAGTGAAGCCTAAGTGACTTGCCATCTCACCACTCTCCAATTCCTTAAAAGAGCATGATGGACTCTGGCCAGGGAGGCCAGAAGGGCTGGGACAGAGACAGCGGGTCTTGCATAATGTACACTGCTTCCTGTTTTGGCCTACTTCCCACCTTGACAGAGCAAGTCATTTCTCTGGAGCTACTACTGCCTCCTCAACAGTGCTTAAGACATTGTGCTCAGTTCAGTTTACCATGGCAATCCTAACCAGCTCTACCTACTGTGATAATTTGTTTGCTCCACTGTCTTTTTTTCTCCCCCGGGTCTCACATAGTACCATTGATGTGGCTCCACTGATGCCCAGGCTGCCTTCTGTGTTTGGGCAAGGATGCCCGCATGTGTATATACAAGAAGCCTGATGCAAAACAGGCAGCCCCTGCCACACAATCAGTGCACATAGTGAGTATTCAATGTTACTCTGACAAGTAGAGCACAGTCTACAAGAGCAGACATTTGAATCTTCAAACACCTAAGCCTTCTCAGTCTTATTCTGAACATCAACCTATGTTACATTATCCATAATAGTGGTGTTCTTAAGGGTCAGGAGCATAATTTATATCATCCTTTTACCTCTTTTAAGTGCCTTTCTCCAGAGTACTCTAAAATGGAATGATAATGTAGTATTATTACAGCTCAGATGGGAAGTCAGGTTCCTAATCTCAACTCTCACCTGTACATTTATATGTGAATAGTCAGCAAGTTGAAGCACTAAGAATCATTTCACAAAGATTAGAGACATGCAGTATCAAGCATACTGACAACACTCACTGTCAAACAGACTGTTGCCTGATTGCAGTTTGTCTTTCCTGTGACATTAACCAAAATGCACTGTGGGCATTGTGTATCATTTCCCTCACAGCAGAAAGTACCTAACAGACACTGGAGAAATAATTCAGATTATATGAAGATCTTTTTTAAAAAGGACTCATCTGAAAACATAGGTTTTCATCTATGATGTATCATGGAGCCTCTCAGAGTCTGAGAAAATGCTCATGCATGAAGTCTGGACAATCATGTAAGCTCCTCTTGTTCGGGTGCATCCACATCCTGCCTCCCCTTCCCCTGGAGTGAGAGCCCTGAGGGCTGGAAGAGGCACTTAAAGGTCCATGTAAAAGCACACACCTTTCTAAAGCCTCTCACCTCATCAATTTATATTTGGAAACGAAGGCTTTGCCACACTCAGCCTGCATGCACTTGAATGGCCGCTCCCTGGAGTGGGAGTAATTGTGGACAGCGAGCTTCTCCTGGGTGAGGAATGATTTGCCACATGACTGGCAGCGGAATGGAGCCATTGGCCTTGCTTTTCACACCTTCCTCTTCAGATATGCTGACCAAACTCTGTGCCATTTAAGCACAAACAGAGGGAAGGTGCAGAGCCTCTACTGCTGGGCTCCAGGTGAGGTGACTAAGCGGCAACAGCACAGCCTGGGTCTGCTGGACTCGGAACTCTCAGTCTGCTGTCCCACGTCCCAGGCAAGATTCAGGGGGACTGCATCAGCAGGACAGCTGGGCTTCTTGTATCACCGTCTGTAGAGATTAGATGAACAATTTTTTCCTATCAGTCATTTGAAAACCATGCTTTTCCTCCCTACCATTTTGAAGCCAATGGCCCACAATCAATATGTTCCTTTGAAATGGCTCAAATGGGTTCAGCTCTCTACCACTCACTCCCTTCTTGCTTCCAGAGGCTCTTCTGCATAGAAGCCTGTGTATCTGCCTCTTCCAAGCACTTGTATTCTGATGGCTGATGAAGCACTCTCCCTCCTGATAAGAATGGCTCTTCCCATAGATTCTACTTGGTAGCATTATCTACTTGGTAGTTTCAGCCCAGTGTGAGGCTCAGGTGATTGATTCAAAGGGAAGAAATAAGCCTCCCTCCTTGTGTTGTGGCATGTTTCTGGTCCAAAATGACCACTCCTTATTCAAACCATGAGCTTTTCCTCTTCACGCACTGTTAGCATAAGATAAGTTGTTTACAACACCTGTTTAAACTCTCAGAGAATGAGAAGAAATAATTTGCATATTATTTCAGTGAATTTGTTTGTAAGATCACTATGCACAAGGGCTGATGTAAACAGAATGTGAGGAAGGTGAGTCTAGCTGCACTGATGTGATGAGAGAGAAAATGTGTCCACGGAAACAAGACTGATGACTTCAATGAGAGCTTAGGCTAACACTCTAGAACATGGCTCCACTGGTCTCCTTCCCTTATTCTTCTATCACCAAGTTCAACTGCATTCATTTCCTTATTTTTGGTTTTTTGAGACAAGGTCTTATTTCATATAGCACACGGTGCTGTGGAACTCACTATGTAGCCTAGCCCAGCCTGGCCTTGAACTTGCAATCTTCATGCCTCAAACTCCCAAAAGTGACTTTAACTGGTTTCTGTCCTGGCTCTTCCCAAAGCGGTCTGTTTCCACCCTTCATGCCTGCCCAGCGCTCCTGACCACACACAAGGTCCTTCCTTGAGGCATCCCTAACAGTCCTATCCACGAATTCCTCTGGCTTGTGCTGCCTCATGATCGGTCCTATTTCTCATCTAGCCCAAGTCTGGCCATAGTTCTGGGCCAGCTACAAATCACATTCATTCACTTGAAATTGTTTGGTATTTTTTTTTCCAGACCTGATTTTGAAAGACTAAAACATATACAGACTATGAAATGTGAAATGCATCCTTTCCTTCTTCCTATAATAGCTAAAATAGCACTCCGCACTCTGAAGGAGCTGTTTGGTGGGGAGCACTCTGTATTCCCTTCACCAACTTGCCAATTCCAGGCACGAAGACTTTTTTCAATTTATCTAAGTGAATTTATCCTCCTCAACTCTTGCTTTTTGGGAACAGTTTGCCTAACAGAACTTTCTGTGATAGAAATATAATACAAACAGGGGCTACCCAACACTCCCAATGTGCTGCTGTCAAACTGAAATCATCATAACTTACTTAAGAGTCAGAGACAGACAGCTAGTGGCTGCTGTGTGGGGAAGCACAGACCGGCTCTTAGATTCCCTGTCATATGCTGAGGGCAAGGCTGAGCTTTTCCTAGGATGTGGCTGTGCTTCTGATTTGCCCTTGGATTTATATCATCTGTTTCAGGAACGACAGGGAAGGCTCCCCAATTCATATACCACTTTACCCATGCTGGCTCTATCCTGAGTTCTAGTTTTTTCATTTCTATAGTCACATGATGCAAGCAAACAGGCGTTGGGGACAATCAACTAAAACAGTGACTTGTAAAAAAAATCATAGAAATGTATAGTATTTATGGGCTACTGAGATTAAAAGTAGAACTGTGTGTCAGGGTACAACTAATAATTTATAACCATTTAGCTGTGGACATGATGGAGAAATGATACACACTGTCTGTGTAAACAATATCAATTACTCATCCTGGAAGGAACCAGTATGGACCCAGACACAAGCATAAAGAAGAAGTAAAATGATAAATATACTAACCTACGTTCTTTGTTTCTCTGCAGATCTGAATCTTGATTGACTCCCTGCCAACACACCACAAGTACAAAAGGAAATATTCAATTTTTAAAACTGTCCTTTAACACTGATTAAGGTTTGTCAGATCTGTTTTCTAGTCACTTCTTCCCTAGATTCCACATTTCAACAGTCATGGACACGATCCATGCCATTTCCCCTGGGCCTTACTAGACTGTAGACAATCAGAGATGGTTAGACATGGTTGTGTTTTACCACAAGTGAGGCAAATTTCTTCCAACTTCAAGCAAGCTCCCCAACACAAATTCCTCAAAAAGTAAGTGACTCTCAAATGCTTTACATTTAGTGACTTCATGACTCTATTTTGCCAAGACTTTATCTTGTTGAGTTCAGGTTTGTGCTAAATTCTCCCAGCCTTAACACAAAAGGCAAAATTCAACACTGAGCTGAACTCATCACACCCTTATGACCCTTCTTTAATTTCTTTGGAAAGTCTTTAGGGACTCGCAATTTCATAGTAACTACATTCTTCTTACCATGATTGTATATTTCATACACATGGGACCTTAGAATACAAGTATCTGCACTGTTTTCAAGATATAATCACAAACTTCCATAAAAATAGAGCTTTCCCCATAAAATATAAATTCTTGATGGCTGAGGATCAAAGTTTAGCTATTTAAAAAGCTAACCATGTAGATATAGATACACTGTCTCTCAGTCACTCTGTACCTGATCAGTACTATCTGTTTTATGATAATTCCAATCTTCAGCTAAAACGTGATATGCTTGAAAGAGACTTAAGATTACTGTCTACTATCTGGAAAACCATCAACAATTATAACAGAACTGCAAAGGCTGTGGTCCTGATGAGAGTCAGTCTGTTCTGTGCCTTGACATATAGATTGCATTTGAATCTTAAACACAGTACTATTTTAACACCTGTCACCCTGGAAAGATAGTAAGACTTCCCCACCAAACATCTCAGGACATAATTTTCAATCCCCCTGATTCTAAAAATACTGAGGGAGTGATAGTGATATGGATCTGCTAGCATGCCGAACAAGGCCTGAACCATCTGTTTCATTCTGCTCTTGTTGATTATTTTGGGGATGAGGATCAGACTGGAA